ACGTTCTGGGATTCTGTGATTCTGTGATCTTTTCAGTTTTGGTTGGTGAGAAATTGTGTTTGCATTCGAGGGCAGAAGGAAGGTGGGTGTTCATTAGTGCTTCTGCTCTGCTCCTGCTCTGGATGAAGTATTTGAGCATATTGTTCTGTTTGTCATCTGGGTTTCGCTGTTGTTTTCAAAGATAGTTGGAAGCTTTTGGGCCCAGATGCCAGGGCAAACAGAAGTTGGCAAAAACAATTCTGCCATGTACGTGTAAATGTACTTGTGTTTGGCATGGAGTACAGAGCTGCATTTCTAAATCTCTGCAAAGAAACATTCTTTTACCTGCCTCCTTCAATCATACTTAAAGCATGTGTGGTTTGCTTTAAAAACAGGTTACTTGTTCTCTTAAGCTTCCCTGCTAAGCTGTGCACCTTCTCTCATTAGGTGCTACCTCTGATGGCCCACTGAAGCTGCTTCCTGAAAACCACTTTGATCTCGTGGTGCTAGATGAGTGTGCTCAGGCCCTGGAAGCGAGCTGCTGGATACCTCTGCTGAAGGCTCCAAAGTGCATCCTGGCCGGAGATCACAAACAGCTTCCCCCCACCATCATCTCTCACAAGTAAGGAGCAGTTCGTGGTCCCAGGTCCTCCTCCTGGTATTTATGCAGCCAAATGCTTCTGAACGGCTCAAGTGTCAAGACATTTCATTAAGGTGGATTATTTATTGGTATCCCCCATGAGCTGGGTTTGGTCGCACGGCTGGAATTACGTCAGACCTGTTTTACTGATTGCCGCTGCTTAAAGTTTAATGTGGCTCCATCTGAGCAGGCTTTCTTACCACAGGAGGATGTGACAGTTGGTTGTTTTACCTGCTGCTGACTGAGCCATGTCATAGCAAAGCGTGCGTAGTCAATGTGGCACTGGAGGGTTGCCTTTTGTGCTGATGAGCGCCTGCTAGGCTGCTGCTCCAGGGCTTGTGAGGGTTTGGAGTTTGCAGACAAGGACACCAATCACTCTAGAGTTGTCAGAAATCCTCAGAGGCGTGTGCACCTTGCCTGTGAGGCTCTCATCCGTGTGGGAGCAGAGATGTGGCCTGTGGATCTGCACATTGGATCAGGTTTTATAGGTTCAACCTTAGGGAGAGCTGCTGAAGCACACCTTAGCAACAGAAGGTGATTCTGTACCGGACCCTGGCCATTGGCAGTGGGAATACTTGCTCACACGGTGACAGGGAGCTGTCTGCCTTTGAAACACTGCTGTGTGCATTTCACAGAGGTCCTCCAAGCTGCATCAGGGCCACGATCCGGCAGCTGGAGTCCCGGCCTTCTCTGAGACTGCCTTTTGTCCTTGTCTCACGCTTACTTAGGAGTTGTATGCCCACAACAGAGAGGATCCCCTGCAGAAAAAGCAGGGCAGGCAGGGAAGGTGAGTGCAACAAGGCAGAAAACTCACACTGAACGGTGTTTCAGGGAGATCTGTTACACTGGGACCGTCAGAGGTAGCTCAGCAGCATCACAGAAACACCTCTGCTGAACAAGCCTTTGCAATGTGGGGTCCTTCCACTCACTGCCATGGCCTGTGTGCAAGGTGCTGCTGAGATGAACAGCAAGTAACAGGGTGAAATCAGAGGCACTGCCCTGAGTGGTACCGGTGTGGGGTTGCCGGTGCTTGCTGTGCACTCATGTGTGTCCTTCCATCAGTCACCTGAAACGTGCCCTGGCCCCAGAGAGTTGAATGCATTGAGCTTGTGGTGTTTACTTTGGTTTTTCTCTTTGGTGAGGAGGAGTACATGCAGTATGCACTGCTACTGGATTACTGAAAATTGTGTCTATTTTAACAGATGTGCTTCCTGAGAGATGTGTCATTAGCAGAGATACTTTTTCAATTCTGCTTGCTTAGCAGCACTGTGTTTGAATTACTCGGTTTCACTCTGTTAAGCAAAGTAATTTTCAGAGTGGTTAGAGAAGCTGTTCAAAAAACAGTTTAAAACAATCCCATCAGCCATTTAAGCGAGTGAAATGGTAAGCAAACACAAGGTGAACAGAACAAAGGCACAAATTCTGGTTTCACTGACCAGTATTTATGTACAAACTTTAAAATGTTTGTTTTTAAGATGATCTGTTTTTCTACATGAGGTTTCCTTGTGCCTGGCAAGAAGGATGGCCTCTTTGCCGTAAAGTACACTGTAGAGTACCCTCTGTAGAGTGAATTCAGGCTTATGTTCAGTCTAATCCAAGTCTGTCTTCCCTTTATTAAATTCTGCTTTTGTGGTTCCACGTTTATTTGTTTAACATATTAAAGTGGGAGTTGGCCCACCGAGGTGCTGCAGTGCGTTATCACACACACCACGGGGATTACCAAACCTCACAGTGCCTACAACACGCTCATTAAGAACAATTAGTTTGTGGAAGAGATCTGTGGCTGCTGCAAATTGCCTGTGCTTCACGGGGGATGCTCCAAATAGGACTGAGGAGCCTTCAGGTTGTTTAACATATAAATGTGTGCGTGTTTATCTAGCTCTAGATCTGGACTTACTGAACTGTCATTGAGCAGCAGCAGAGATACAGGGCTGAATTCATAAACTTTCTCTCCTGCTTCCAAAAAATAATGAGCAAGACACATATCTGTCATCTCACTGGGATTTTGAACGAAGGAAATGAAAAATCCAGGGGAGGCAGTGGCTGCCAGCTGATGGCTGAGAGATGGTGCAAATAATGTTAAGGCGCTGGATTATCTTCTCTTGTTACCATCAGCAGATGCACAAATGGTTGCTGTCTGCAGATTTGGCCATTGATAAGCACACTCCTCCACTGCCAGAGGTGTCCAGGCTGGAGAACTGCAAAAAGCCTATCCAGAACCCCCTGCCCTTCTCGTCTCGCTGTTTATTTACTGTGCGTTTGCAGGCTGTCTCTCTATCCCTAGGTTTTCCCCATCTGTGGATTTGGAATGAATAATTTCACCTCCATGCAGAAGCCAAGTGGCAAGCCAAGGCTGGGAGCCGGAGGGAGGCTGTAAACCGCGATGTGCTGACAGATGTTATTAGCCTGGGGTGGAAAGAAGCAGTCAGGGGCTAAAGGCTCATTTGTTTACATTAGTAGGTTTAATCTGGAGTCGGATAATGGAACTATTCCCAGCAGAGAAGAGCTGCTTGCCTGCTGTGCAAGGTGCTTTTAGGAGTAAGTGCCTGGTTAGTTGCAAGAAGAAATTTGCAGTTTGATCCTTCTAATTTTAGGGTTATCATTCTTGCCTTTAAGTGATACGTAAGGCTCATCTTTTCCACCAGAGAAACTTGTGTCGTAGGTTCATAACCCCTCAGTCTTCGTGCTGTCCTCGGCCAGCGGGATTCATCTCTGAGCAGTGGCAGTGGCTTGAGATTCCCCCCCCTCTCTCTGCTTGTGCCAGTAAGTTGTTCCAAATGATGAATTAACAGAGAAGGAGTTGGAAGCCCTTCATCTGCTTATGCTTCTGGTTGTGGACATGCACTCGTTCATCTTGCAGGCCTCCTGCCCCAGCAATGCTGATTTACAAGATCAGAAGCTTTAGATCGATGAAAATGCTCACCAGACACTGTGGTCCCAAGACAGCAGCTACATGCTAGCGAGGCAAGCAGGGCTGTCCAGCCCCAGGAACAGAGCCTAGAGACTTATTTTCCTCAAGATTGTCAGATTAAGGGCAAAGCATAGCAGAAATACCAACTCTGTTACTGTGGGTGAACTGCTCTAATGCTCAGCTGTTGTCACTTTTGGCCCCTCTTTGAAAGGAAGCAGATTTCCTTCAGAAGAGCTCCATAAATGTTACATCCCTTGCCCAGCTGCTTTCTCCTGCTCTGTCGCGATGGCCGATGCCAGGACCCTTTGCTGGTGCTGCATCCTGGAGTCAACAGCAAAAAGCTCCTCACTGGTAGGACCCATCCTGGCTCTCCTCTGGTCCTACTTGAGGAGTTGGGCTTTTCTCTCTCTCAGTTTTGAGTCTGACTTTGCAGTGGAAAGTTGCCACTCGTTTTCTCCTGTGGTCACAGGTGATCATAATGTTCTCGTTCTCCACCAGAAACACTGTTTTGCTGCTTAAATCCTATGGGTATGACTCGGACCAAACATTTTGTCTTTGCTGGTTCCCACTGGAACATGATATTTTCGATGTGCATATTCACAGAATCACAGAATCACTCGGTTGGAAAAGCCCTCTGAGATCATCACGTCCAACCGCTCCTGTCTACCCCCTAAACCATATCCTTAAGTACCTCGTCTACCCGCTCTTTAAATACATCCAGGGATGGTGACTCCACCACCTCCCTGGGCAGCCTGTTCCAGCTTCTGACGACCCTCTCAGTAAAGAACTTCCTCCTTATCTCTAACCTGAACCTCCCTTGGCACAGCTTGGTGCCGTTTCCCCTTGTTCTATCCCCCATCACCTGGGAGAAGAGCCCAGCACCCACCTCTCCACAAGCTCCCTTGAGGCAGTTGGAGGTGGGGATGAGGTCTCCCCTCAGCCTTCTCTTCTCCAGGCTAAACAAGCCCAGTTCCCTCAGCCGCTCCTCATCAGGCTTGTTCTCCAGAGCCCTCCCCATCCTTGTGGCTCTGCTCTGAACACGCTCCAGAATCTCCACATCCTTCTTCTAGTGAGGGGCCCACAACTGAACACAGCACTCGAGGTGCAGCCTCACCAGTGCCGAGTACAGGGGGATGATCACCTCCCTGGCCCTGCTGGTCACGCTGTTTTTAATACAGGCCAAGATGCCATTGGCTTTTCTGGCCACGTTTTGCATGTTTTCTTTCCATGTTTTTAAAATCCTAGCTGCACAAAGTGCTGATCTTTCTGAAAATTAAAAGAGAGTGTGGGTAGAAGTCAGATCTTGTGGCTCTTCAACCTTGGCAGGTTTACCAACCGTGCAGGGAAGTCGGTTGTTAAGTCGGCTCCCATTTCTTGTGCGGTGATCCCTTTTGGACGAGAAGCCGTAGGGATGTTTAAATGGTGTGTCACTCTGCCCTTCCTTAAGTTCAATCTATTTAAAATAAAATGGAGCAGAGAAAATGTGTGTCTGAATCAATAATGTTAACAGATTCATGTCTTGGCCTGGCTTACCAGTGAATTATGATGCTAAGGCTTGCTACATTAAATGAAATTATTGCTGAAGGCATCAGCAGGTCCACAACCTGAGTGCTGGTCAGACAAGACACCAGTCAGCAGAGCACAGCCTTGCAGACAGTTGCCTTTTGGAAGATAAAGTGCAAAAAGCCAGGCTGACTTCAGCTCACTTGGCAGAATTACGGGCTGTGCTTGCAAACGCTGCCGCTCTCCAGGCAGGTCTCTCTGGTTTAGCCTAAAAGGCAAAGCTGCTACAGTGCTGCTGCCTGTGCCAGCCAATCTTCTCTCAGTTCCCTGAGTAACTCTCAAGACCTATTAGCTGATGTGAAGCAAATCTGCTAAAGTGTGAAAATCTGGGAGATCTTCAACTCCGTAATAATAGGTAACAAAGCTGAGGTTTGAGTTTGCTCAGAGCAAAGTCATCGTATGAACTCGACCAGAGTAGTGACCACAGGAGAAGCCACAGAGGGTGGAACCAGAGGAAGTCTGTTTTTCTGTATTTATTATTGAAGTATGTGAAGGTAGCACTGGAAAA